AGAAATTAAATATCTACAAGTATATGTATGTGGACCAGCTGATTTTGTGCCATGAGCTGGTCAGGTGCAGGAGAGGCAGATGAAATAAACTAATAAAGTTCAGGAGAAGTTTTCTAGGTGGTTCTTAAAGATAACTCGATCCTACCGATTTCAAATTTGAAGTTTAGGTGCGTTTGGGGCTCAATTATAATTATCTTATTATTTTTTAAAAAATTCTTTACATTGAATTTACTTAAAAATAGTTACAAAACTGATTTTTTTTAAAATGCATTTATTTAAAAATGCAAATAAGCTGTACAGGACTATTTGTGCTATTATATATATATCATATTCACAGACTGTAACATTTTAAGTTAAAATGATGTGACTGATGAATATTACAGAAGAAGTATCTGCCCTCAAATGTTAAATGACTACAATTCCTATCATGCTCGGCATGCCAATGTCTGACATATGACTTTATAGACAGGGTATATTTACTAACGTGAAAATCAAAGTTAAGGTCAAAATAGTTGAACTGGAAAAATTCTCTACGTCAGCTGTGCTTTCAGTTTGGCTACTCTGGCCTTAAAGTTGAAATTCACTCAGATTCACTTTGATTTCTCACTTCAGTGAATAACCCTGAAAATCTCACCCTCAGAACATTTTAGCAACACATACAATTATTCAACGCAGTGTAAATTGTCAGGAAATCTTAGTGAATTTTAAAAAAAGGCCAAAGTAGTTTAAAAGTGCAAACATAACTTGAATTATTCTAGTTCTGCTATTTGACATTCACTTTGAATTAATTTTGAACGCCTGGCATTCCAAGTTTAAAGGACCACTATAGTGCCAGGAAAACATACTCGTTTTCCTGGCACTATAGTGCCCTGAGGGTGCCCTCACTCTCAGGGTCCCCCTCCCGCCGGGCTCTAGTGGGTGGAAGGGGTTAAACGTACCTCTTTCTCCAGCGCCGGGCGGGGGACTCTCCGCCTCCTCTCCGCCTCCTTTTCTCCTCGGCTGAATGCGCATGCGCGGCAAGAGCCGCGCACGCATTCAGCCAGTCCATAGGAAAGCATTCACAATGCTTTCCTATGGATGCTGGCGTCTACTCACTGTGATTTTCACAGTGAGAAGCGCGGAAGCCCTCTAGCGGCTGTCAATGAGACAGCCACTAGAGGCTGGATTAACCCTAATATAAACATAGCAGTTTCTCTGAAACTGCTATGTTTATAGAAAAAAGGGTTAACCCTAGCTGGACCAGGCACCCAGACCACTTCATTAAGCTGAAGTGGTCTAGGTGCCTATAGTGGTCCTTTAATCATTAACCCTGTGTGATCTCTTTTGTTTTACCTACAAGATCATACAGAGCTTCCTCTCTCGTAGCTTTGTTTAAGTAAACTGAGTAAATTATCACCAGAAGTAATTTATTCTTACACCGGTCTTATCACAGCCTTATCAGAAGAAATTAGACTTTGCGGTAATTCATCTTCTAAACAGAAATCAATTACAGCAGAGTAAACACAAAAGGAGGAAGTGTAGGTTGAAAATAAGGTCCCTATACACATTATCCAATGTCAACATCTATAAAATCCATAGGAAAAAAGGATAATCTTGATAAAGTTCTAATCAATTATCTAACTGGTTTTATGAACAGCAATTTGAAGTGATCATGTTGCTTGGAGCGTGTATTCTTAATGAAACACTGCACATATAGCGTTAAAGTCCATTGCTGCCCTAGTTGTAAATACACTTCTGGAGATGGCATTAGTGGTTCCAAGCTGGCTGAGGTTAGTTCTTTACATATTTGGTGTCCTGTATTCAGCACACATAGCATGCTGGTGACCAGAGGCATATCTACTGAAAATAGAATCTATGGAAAGCACTGAAATTGCAACCCTCGCGCACATCACCCAAATATCTGACACCCTTCTATTATATACCCTACAATTGGCCCAGAAATGCAAGCTGTATGCATTGTGTGTGTGTGTGGGGGGGGGAGGGTAGGGGGGGTTGGCTGTGTGTTATATGTGTGGTGTGTGTGTGATTTGTGTAATTTGTGTAGCCATACTCTGTGTAGCCCCCTCCTGCTTGTCTATCATAAAGGAAGGGTGATATCTGGTTGTCCAATGTGGGGCTCATACTCCCAGTTGGTCCAGCAGAGGTTAACTCGGACTGGTCATCTAGCAAGGGTCCTGAGTAACTGATGCTCCAGCAAGGGAAGGGGAGGTTTTCACCACTGGCGGATGCAGACCTCAGTAATCACTCCCTCACAGTTTGGCACTCAACAAGTCAGAGAGCAAACTGGTAACATCCAGTGACAGAGAACCACAAGGGAGCCATTACTGAGGTCTCCACCCACCGTAGGTGCAAACTGCACACTGCTTGTTCTGGTCCCCCCAACAAGGCAGCCCAGCAGGGAAACAAACTGTCTACCGAGACACTGTTCAGTGGCTCCCCTTTAAGTTGTGCCTAGAGCATGTGCCATGCATGTTATACCCTAGGTACACCACTGCTGGCAAGAGATGACCGATGGTACCATGGCTTCCGTCTTTCATGCTGTCCAAGTCCTCTCCTCAACCACTCCTCAATAACATTCTCCAGTGAGGGGGTGATGACATGGAAAGAGGCAGGCGGTGCTTGGTGAGCTGGCCTTACACTTGATTTAATGTGAGGTTTAGCTGACCATGCCAAGAAGGGTTACTGTAACCAAAAAATGTCTTTTAATAAAACACTTTTACTGCTTGGAATACCCGTTTAATCTCTCATGCATTTAGGATAAAGCAAATTCTATATAGTATTGAAATTCAAGCACTGTAAACCACTGTAGCTTATTAAATTAGTTTCACGCTTTTATTAAAAAGTTAATATTTAGTATCACAGAACATAAGTTGACTTACGCATATTAAGTGGGTCCATTTTCCAAAGTGTAAGTGCAGGGCTTGCGGTACGCTAAGAAAATAAAACAGTGCAGCTAATAGCTGCAAACACTGTGAAACGTTTCTTTTGTCTGCAGCTTTAACACTAGCAAATCAATGCAAAAATATAAATGCTGGGGTCTGTGAGGCCCCAGCATGTAAGAACAAATGTGTAGTGTCATTAACCTTTTCATCTCTACAGTAGAGAGCAATACAGTGTGTTTCTCTCTTCTGTGGCACTGAAAATAAAACATAAGCATTTAATGCGTGCAAAGTGCTGCGAGGCTCCAGCTACTTGGCTCCCTTTTATATTTTGGACAATTAATAATAGAAAATATATATTTTTTAAATGTGGGATCCATTGGATTCCATAATGTGCCATTCACTTTCTCCAACCCATGTGGGAGTCACAACCAATTAGGAGCATTTATTCTAACGATTCCCCCCAAATTAGAAGTTTATTCTATAATTGTTCTATTTTTTTGTAATTAAAATTTTATTGAGTTTTTTTTTTACTTAGCATTAGAAACATAAGGCATTATAACTACTTCACCCAACAAAGAAGATCTTCTACAAATAACAGAATAACAATTCTCATGTAAAGAGTTGGTTATTGTGCCTTATTACTCTTAAGAAGTATAGGAAGGAGAGAAACAAGTTGAAGAGGTTAGGTAATAGGGAGGGTTGGGGTAGGTGGGAAGGTGTCTCCCTATGAGACGAGTAGGTTCCTCGGAGCTACACCACCAGAAGGTTTAGGGTAAACCCGAGGGGTGCAAAAATCTCCATCTGTCAAATATAAGCACTCTCTGACCCAAGGTGCATATATACAGCTGTCAGATACTAAAGAGATGAGTTATTCTATTTTTTTTACATTTTCTTAATTTAACAAATAATCCATTTCCTTTAAAAACCTGGTAAAAGGATCATTATATTAAAAGATAATGTCGCCTAAAGTCACTTTGAGCTTGACCGACCTGTGATACAAATGTTAGCCTACGGAGCTATAAGTCTACCTGCCAATCAAATGGCTCCTCTTGTAAGACAAGGGATACTCGGAATACTCAACCATCCTGTGTATACAGGGAATGAGAAAACAATGTTGCTAGGTGCACTATCACTCAACAAAATCTTTAAAGGCAAGCAGCAGATGTTGCGTCCCACATCCAATTAATACGATGTTTGTACATTGCAATTAATAGCCGTCATAGAGTAGATATCAGTGGACTGTATTAATTAAAGAATATATCTATGTCACTGGTTAGAGTCACATTTTCATAGTATATTGCAAAAATAGATACAAAGATATTAATTCACCATCATTAATGCCTCAGTAGAATAAAGTGGAATGTATTAACAAAAGAACTACACTTATTTATCAACCGTATTTCACATGATGCTCAGTCTATGGTAAGGATGGCTAAGGATCATGGGAAATACAATGCAATAACGTAGGCTCTCTAATATCTTCAATTAACTTTATTTCAAGCATTAACCCTGGTGACCATAGTATCCCTTTAATTATTGCAGTATATGACATTCTCTAGTCTATATATATGGCACTGTCTTATTTGCATGGGCATCAAATATAATCAATATTCTTCTTCAGAGTCAATGTTAGCCATTCCCGCTTTAATACATAGCTCATATGTAAAAATAACCTAAAACCCAGCAGGGTGACAGGATGAATAATATATTACAATATGTTATATCAATGAATAGTGGGGACATTATCAGCTTTTCTGTGAAAGCTGTCACTCAAGCAATTGTAAATAATGTAATTATAGGTTCTTTAATAACCTTAATGACCAATTACATCCTTTGTGTGACATCAGCAATACCTAAATTCCAGTTTCAGATTTTGGCAAAATGTTAGGTTTAAAAAGAAAAACTTGAGTTAATTAGTAGTTAAGAATTGAGAAAAATGTTTAGAGAGTTTTAAAGGTCTTTAAAGGTTGACACAGTGAGGCTCGAGGCAGATTTTGACCTGTGGACTTAGTCTTTTATTTCTTTTTGCAGAGCACAGAAAAGACATCAGCTGTAAGAAAGCATTCAGTTGCGGTTTCACGGTCTACAAATATCAATACATTTTCCTGAAGACGAGTCATGCCTTACTTTCAAGGAGCGGAAAAACTCTTCTTGACTGTCTACATCATAACGTTTGTAACAGGGCTTCCTTTAAACATCATGGCCCTTTGTATCCTCATTAAAAAATGTAGTCAGAAGCTCGTTCCTGTGGATATCTTACTTTTCAACTTGACCATTTCTGACCTGTTACTTCTCTTTTTCCTTCCATTTCGTATGGCGGAAGCTGCCTCTGGTATGAGATGGCTCATACCTTATGTCTTCTGTCCCTTGTCAGCTTTTATGTACTTTAGCAGTATATACATCACATCACTTTTTCTTATGGCTATAAGTGTGGAGCGATACCTGGCTGTTGCATTTCCTATCAAATACAAGCTGTTGAGGAAACCAATCTATTCTGTGGTGGCAAGTGTCATCATCTGGGTCACAGCAACTGCTCATTGTAGCATTGTCTACATTGTGGAACATTTTGTAACCGATAACATGACTAGTGTCAACATGACAGCTTGTTACGATACATTTTCACCAATTCAATTACAGGTTCTTCTGCCTGTTCGATTCGAAATATGTCTTCTCCTATATTGTGGTCCATTGGTGGTCACTGTATTCTGCTACACTAACTTTGTCAGGATTCTCTCCATGCAACCTCGAATAAAGAAGAAGAGAAAACTTAGAGCAATTGGGCTGTCAGTGGCCACTATGATCACTTTTATGGTTTGTTTCTTGCCCTATAATGTGTCTCATATTGTCGGATTTATTGAAGGAGAAAGCCCAAAATGGAGAGTATATGCACTTCTTCTAAGCACATTCAATGCAAGTATGGATCCTATTATATTTTACTTCTCATGTGGCTCATTAAAGAAGATATGTTTCCAGGGTATGGTGCAGTTTATAAAAAAGCTACACTTGGGGACAAAATTAAGCCACAATTTTATCACACAATGTGAGAAAAAAGCAGACAATTCAATTGCCTCTTCATGATGGCATCATATAATGGCATAAACTTGCATTAGATAAAACTTGGAAAAATAAAAAAGCAAAAATCACAAAAAGAACAGAATAACCATGTGTCCTACAACCTATGGTAGCGTTTGTGGTTTAAGAAGCCTTTGGGTGCCATCTCCTATTTTAGTCAAAAATCTTGCAACCTATCATTGTCATGTAGGTTTGGACAACTTTGGTCAGATAATGTAGATGTGAAAACTCAGCACTAACTGATTGGCAGGCAGGAGCCAAGTTGGGTGCCTAAAGAACCCCAATTTTGTTAAACCACTTGGAGACAGTTTGACAAAAAAGTTTAAAAGTTTAAAAAGATTACCCGAAGACTCCTTGCACCATATTTCACTAGAAGGAGTTGTAAGCATTATGGTGCTTTGACAGTTCTTTAATGTAAAATAGACATCTACTGACCAATGCCCTCTCAACATCCCACAGTGCTGTCAGTCTGTCATTGTACATCCCTATTATTAATAGGGATGAATTGTTTCTGTAGAGAACATTAACCCCTTAAGGACCAAACTTCTGGAATAAAAGGGAATCATGACATGTCACACATGTCATGTGTCCTTAAGGGGTTAAAGGGACACTATAGTCACCAAAACAACTTTAGCTTAATGAAGCAGTTTTGGTGTATTGATCATGCCCCTGAAGTCTCACTGTTCAATTCTCTGCTATTTAGGAGTTAAATTCCTTTGCTTATGCAGCCCTAGGCATACCTCTCTTCATGTGACTTAGACAGCCTTCCTAAACACTTCCTGCAAAGAGTCATCTAATGTTTACACTTCCTTTATTACAAATTCTGTTTAATTTAGATTTTCTTATTTCCTGCTCTGTTCATGGCTTGCTAGACCCTGCAGAAGCCTCTTGTGTGTAAACCAGTTTGGTTTTCATGCAGTCTATGTCAATCATAGCCAAGGAAGGTGTGGCTAGGACTGCGTCAACAGAAACACAAGTGATTTAACTCCTAAATGGCAGAGAATTGAGAAGTGAGACTTCAGGATCATGATCTACACACTAAAACTGCTTCATTAAGCTAAAGTTGTTTTGTTGACTATAGTGTCCCTTTAAGGATAATATAGAAATATCACGAATTTACAACGCTTCATTTGTTTATTTACTTCATTCTCACTTAAACCAGATGCGCATAATTTATTATGGTAAGTTATACGGTGAATAATTTGCCACTCATGGGGTATTTCTGATTAACAGACACAACATTTATTGTAGCATTTAATTTATAACAAATTTCCAACAAACCAGTTTTCTCAGTACAATCAGGCTTTATGCCTTAAACCAATTGGGGGGGAAAAATGATGAGTAAAGATTTTAATTAGAATTAAGTAAAATGTAAAATCTGTGTTGTAGTGCTTTGATAATCTGTTGTGTTATTTGAAAATATGATTTTTTTTTTTAATCAAACTGTAAATTTGTTTCTGTCAACAGCATGATTTTTAGAACTATAAAAAAAAAAAAATATATATATATATATATTTATATATATATATATATATATATATATATATATATATATATATATATATAGATAGATAGATAATAAGAGTGCGCAAAATACAGGTAAATAGCCAAATTACTATTATCGGCTTAATGAGTAAATTAAAAATATCAGCAGCTAAAAACACATTAAAGATTTCCCAATCTTACATATACAGTATATTAAAATTGTGTTAGCGCTATATGGGAGTCACCATTATTACAAAATAAAACATTGTGCTTCCACAAATATTCTTATGAAGAAAAAATATCAATAACCATTACTATAGTCAGGTGTCTGCTGGTTATTATTACACCTTACTTATATTCAAAATATAAAATGGAAATTTCCAAAGAATCTTCTAAGACAAAATATATATCAATGTCCAGAGTACTTTGGTGTTGAAGGGGTTAATACTTTTTCGTTGCAGCACAGTTCTCTGGTATAGATCACAGTAGTTTGTAGCAGCAGGATAATACCTTCAAAATGATACAAAAAGAATCCTCATAGTGTAACACTGTTTATTTGCAACATTAAAAAACCCTAACCCCCAAAAGGAACTATTACATTAATAAATGGTGACACTTGTTTCCATGACAAATGAGCAGATATACAGAAGTGAATGTGATGTTACCGTTCGTTCAAATGATGTTCTCGACTAAAACTGAAGTCTCTCTGCCGTGCTATCCACTTGTATTGCTAGAGAGACACCAAATGTCCAGGACGGTGCTTTCTTTCACTCTGTGTTCACTCAGAGAGCAGTTAGCACTTCGACGCGTTTCGCCCCGTTCACCCGGGCTTTCTCAAGATCAAGATACTAATATTTTACATTGGAAATATCCTTATGACATAAAACATGAGGTGATTTCTGAAACAATAAAAAATAAACAAGCAAACAAACAACAATGGGCAGATGACATGGGCTGAACGGTCGTTATTGGTTGTTGCATTATACTTATCTGGTTGTATTTACCTGGTTGCTGTAGCAAAGAAATAGGAACTAGGTTCATCAACAAGACCCAAAAGGTTATTCTATGTCTTTTCAGTCATAGAAAAATATTTTGATTGTTTTTTTTGGGGTCGTTTAATCTTGGTATTAATGTTTATATTATATTCACAGTTTAGCATTGTACCAGTTAAGTGACAAACAGCTAATGAACACTAGAGGGCAGCCTTTGTTAAGGTTACGCACAGCAAAAGAAGGCTCGTTTTGTGATTGAACCATTCTGGCACTGCTTATCAAAGGATTATTTACCAGCCAGTATCCCACCTTCATATATGTTTTATCTCTTATCAGTCACTACTCCCAATCTCTTTTTCTTCACTAGTTTCTCATTCTATCAGCATTTTGATTGTTATTACTTCTTTCTCTCAGTTTCTTTTTTCAGATCCCTGTCTCACCCTTCCCTAGTCTCTGTTCTCAAGTCAATAGGAGCAAAGTTAAACTCAGTTTGTGTGCCTTCCCCCAGTTTGTGTGCCTTCCCCCAGTTTGTGTGCCTTCCCCCAGTTCGTGGTGCCCCCCAGTGTGCCCCCAGTTTGTGTGCCTCCCTCAGTTTGTGTGCCTTCCCCAGTGTGCGTGTCTTCACCCAGTTTGTTTGCCTTACCCCAGTTTATGTGCCTTACCCCAGTTTCTGTGCCTTCCCCAGTTTATGTGCCTTCTCCTGTAGCTTCTGAGCCTTCCCCAGTTTGTGTGCTCTCTCTCCCAGTTTATGCGTGCCTTCCCCAGTTTGCATGCCTTCCCCCAGTTTGTGTGCCTTCTCCCCAGTTTCTGAGCCTTCCCCCAGTTTGTGTGCCTTCCCCCAGTTTGTGTGCCTTACCCCAGTTTCTGTGCCTTCCCCCAGTTTGCGTGCCTTCTCCCAGTTTCTGAGCCTTACCCCAGTTCGTGTGCCTTCCCCCAGTTTGCGTGCCTTCCCCCAGTTTGTGTGCCTTCTCCCAGTTTGTGTGCCTTCCCCCAGTTTGTGTGTCTTCCCCCAGTGTGCTTTACCCCAGTTTGTGTGCCTTCCCCCAGTTTGTGTGTCTTCTCCTAGT